ATTTGGCAGGCATTTTGAGTTAACATGGGTGGAAAAACCTCTTTACTGAAACCCTGGAGAGATGGAGAAGGAATAAGGAGCTAGAGAGGCTATAGATTATCTGATTATTGTAATCATAAGACATTATTATTATATCAGTAATTTCGATGGAAGAGGATTGGCTTAAATCAGTTCCTCCAAGAAGGGGGATTGGACTTTACTACAAGAATTGAATCATAGTTGCTTTCTGCCAGATTAGGCGCTCTTTCTCATGTTACACTTTGTAACATTAAACACCATTTGTGTGGACAGGCGGAGTCCCCCCAACCCCAGGTGACCCCCGAGCGGAATGATGACACAAGACAACGTGCTATGGGGTTAAAATTGACCACCACTTTATTAAGTTTCAGATGTAGGGAGACCTTGGCTCAGGCATTGGGCATTTATCCTTCCCAGTCCCCAGCCAGGGATCTGGGAGACATCAGGGTTATCCAGAATGTGTGGGGATTGGGCTGGCTCTAGAGAACATATGTTCAAGCAGAGAGTCCGCCCCCCGTTTCGCTGCCATCACAGGGGAGAGCAATGACAACCTCTCAGCGTATGGCCAATGCCTCCCCTCAAGACCCCTTTAACGGGGAACCCTGGGATCACCGCCGCAAGGGGGGCATGGGTCACCACTTCACGCCCCCCCTTTTAGAAAGATAGACTAAAGGATTCTGTCCAAGGCCTGAAACCGCCACCCAAGGCTGCAAAATTGCGGTATCACCACCAAGACTACCTACACCTGAAAAGGCCCTTTGCCATCCGACATCCATTCCAAAAGGCCATGCCTAATGTCGCTCAGCCAATAATCATAACCCATGGCACTCCATCGGGCCTGAAAAGTTCCTTCCTGTACCTTCTGTTGTGTGGGCAGAGCGGTCTCTCCCCTTACCTGGACAATCCCCTGGCAACGCCTCCCCAGGTGGGATTGGGCGATTGGCTTAGGCGGAGACCTCCAGGTATCCAGCCTGGTAAGGGTGAAGCCAGCTCAAACTACCAGGAGCCACACTGGGATCTGGGGGGCTGCGCGCAACCATGCAAAAGACGCCCCCCCATTTGATGTGGGGAGCGGTCATTGTGCCAAGCTCTTAATTATTAGTGGTGATGTACTAATACATCCTCTTCCTCCCTTAGTGTTCCTGATCTTAATAGTGGCAAAAATGACTCCAAAGAATTTGGGGGCTTACTTCTCATACCAGTTGTGAAAATCCCAGAGCCAAAGCCCTGTATGCTTTGGGATCCATCTGATCAGTAGTTATTCCCTGCGGCTCAGTCTGAATGCTCAGCTATTTTCTTTAAGATGGTATTGAGAAGGGTCCAGTGGGTTTCTCTGTTCATCATGGAAACTTGGTAACCAAAAGCTTCTATTAGAGAAGAGGAGGCAGCATGCAAAAATGTGAATCGAAAGCCTTGTTGAATGATTGCATATGGAAATGTTTACGTGTGACACTGGGATCCTTTCAGGGATGAATTGTTGCTGTGATTGCTGAACTGCAGTGCTGTATCCTTGGAAGACCACAGGGGAGGAGTTGGTCTTTTCAGTCAGCAGTCTTGCAGTGAGATATTATATAACACAAGGTGCACCTGGAGCCGGTTTATCAGCATTGTGGGTTAAGACGCCCCAAAGTCAGAAATACCTTTTTATCTAGGCAACAGACAGTATGCCCTGTTGCCGACATCTAATTTAGCTAAACGGTGTTATTTTTGCAACCAATGGCTGTCCATAAAAATAAAAGAAACATCTGTAGTAGAAAAGCCAACACAGCTAGGTCTATTGTAACGCTGAGCTGTCAAAAATCAAGCTTGCATTTGCTATCCATCTCAAGCTGTGATACAGAATGAAGGGGAAATAATGAAGTGTGATAGCTATGGAAAGGAAACTAGCTCTGTACTCTATATTACCAGAAATCAGCTTGAAAGAAGCCATATGAGGAAAAAATTGATTGTTGTCTTCTTCAGCCACCAGTGATCTCAGCTCCTCTTTTCTTGTAGGGGGGTCACACATGGCTTCCTAGTGAAATATGTGACACCAAGAGTCTCTGCTATACCAAGGAACAGACTGGAACGACAAAATGGCAGACCTATAAAACATTCCACCTGATCAGAGAGGGCAAATGAGTTCAGACAAGGCCTTTCAGACTCTGACAGACTGATAGAGGGAATGAGACTAGGAAATGAGCTTCTCCAGTAATAGCTTATGCCTCTTGCACAATGTTTGGTCGTTTGATGTTATTTATTTTCACTGTTCATAATCTGCTGCTGTTCTGTGAAGCATCAAAAATGGTACAACAGTTTCTCATTCGTATACTATAAAACCATAAACACCACCAACATCTAGAATACTGCATACAACAATTGCAAAAAAGCCAACATTGACAGGTCTGAGCAGATTTTCCAGCTGTCAGAAAATAATACATCTGCATTCAGCGCATGACATGCTAATTATTAGGCTTGTTTGCACATTGCACTGAACACACGTACAAGCTGTCTCTACACATACTGTATACATGTGCTTGTGTGAGAATGTACATTTGTTGATTTGGGCAACTCGGCGATTGTGTACATAGGTATGCAAATCAATATAAAATAAATCAAGAGAAATGTAGAAAAAACTAGCATCCCAACAGCATCTCCAAGTTTGGTGCAAAGTGCCCTTATTGAGCCCACCTCCTTTTTCTTGCTGTAGTTGTGGCTGCTGCTGGTTCACTTGCCTTCTCCCATTATCCCTGAGCATTGGTCATGGTGACTGGCAATGATGGGAGTTGGAGTCCAACTACACTTGGAGGACCAATGGGTTCTCCACCCCTCACCGGGAGGGAGAGGCGAAAGGTGAGCAGAGGCTGGTGCTTATTCTCCTTGCTCCCATCACTTGGAACTTGACTAGAAGTGGGAAAATGAACAAGAAGTGACAGCAAGGAGGAGGATGAGCAGAGCTAGAGGGCTTCTGGGGTTGACCATGGGTCCCATGCTGGGACCATGACCTGTTATCAAGGCTAGTTTTCCATTTCCTTCAGGTGATTTCTAGCACCGCTGTGAAATCTTTTGCCTAAGGCAAGGAGATCTGGATTTTTGTTAATCCCTAGTGAAAGTTGGCCTGCACCACCCCACAAGAAGGAATGCCACCATTCCCAAGCTCCACTCATTGTGCAGAACGTATTAACAAAAAGGGAATACAATTGCTCAAGTGCACTCTTGCTAAAAATGCATTCCCCATAGATGCTGCCAACTCATCCCGATGATTATCTGGTTTCCAAAAAAAGAAGACAGGATTTTTCAAGGTAGGGCTGTTTTGTTTCGTTTTAATGAACAGCAAACCTCACAGCCACATGCAGATGTTTCAGCAAAGACTTAGCAAAGGTGCTTTCTAGCACTACTTATTTTGAAGTATTAAAAATACAGACACATGGGAAGCAAAGCAAAACATACTAATGATCTGATCCCCCTTGCTCATCCAGTGATTCATATGATGCAGACGCTTACTTGACAGTACCCTGGTATTTTTTAGTTGACAGTGATGGTAAGGCTATAAAGAGATGTCATGTATAGAGTCAGAAATAAGTCCCTTTTGTCCCATTATTTCATACATTGACTGATGGTAGATCCCCCTGGGTTTTGGGCAGAAGCCTTTCCAGTGCTGTTTTCAATCTGCCGTGATCTTACTAGGTGGCTTACAGCAATGAAGTATCTTCAAGTCAGTTGAGATAGATAAGAATTTTCCAGTGTGGATAATATCTGGAAAGTCTTTAATGGAGATAGCAAGATTATCTTGACCTTATTTTAAAAAAGGACAACCTGTTTGGACTTGATCTAGCCAAAGTTAAACATGTTTATGTTTCCATTCATTTATTCCTTCATTGTTATTAAATTTATTGACCACTTTTTCTTGCCAAAGGCAACTCCAAATGACTTACAAATCAGTTTTCCCTCCTCCTCCCTGCATGTGTCCCCCTAAATATGTTCTAGGAGTTCCATAACCCTTTGGAGTAGATTGTGGGGCAAAGGCACAGAAAGACAGGAGAGGAAGAGTAATCAATGAGCTGCATAGTTGTCTTACTGCCAAACCAGCAATACCAAATGGTGAACATTTCTGTTCAGAATAGAAAACCCTCTTCACATGATGCAAATGGAGTTGAGAGATGACCTAACCTGGGGAGAAAATAGCAAAGACCTGATGAAGAGAGCACAGCAGAGGTTATATTTTCTGAGAATCCTCCAGAAAAACAATCTCTCAAAGGACCCGTTGATGGCATTTTACCATTGCACTGTGGAGAGTATATAATAATAATAATAATAATAATAATAAATTTTTATTTATATCCCGCCCTCCCCAGCCGAAGCTGGGCTCAGGGCGGCTAACAACAATCAAAATAATCCAACATTCTAAAAACATTCATTATAAAATTAATTAAAATCAAATTGATGGCAACCTTTAAGCAAAATTCTGTGCAGATTGCCAGAGGAGGGGGTCAGGCTGCGCCCTGACCAAAGGCCTGGTGGAACAGCTCTGTCTTGCAGGCCCTGCGGAAAGATGTCAGGTCCCGCAGGGCCCTAGTCTCTTGTGACAGAGCGTTCCACCAGATTGGAGCCGCAGTCGAAAAAGCCCTGGCTCTAGTTGAGGCCAGCCTAACCTCTCTGTGGCCTGGGAACTTCAGGATGTTTTTATTTGCAGACCGTAAATTTCTCTGTGGGACATACCAGGAGAGGCTTTGTGTGTGGTTTGGGAGCTGCACGGTCAGGGAAAAAACAATGCTGTCCAAGGTTGTAAAGACTGCGGAGAGAATAATTGGGTGCACTCTTCCCACCTTGGATCAAATCTATGCTTCCAGGTGCCATAAGAAAGCTGCAGAGATAGTGCAGGATAGTGCGCACCCTGGAAATGATCTCTTTCAGCTTCTGCCTTCTGGAAGAAGGTACAAAGTTATAAAGACTAGGACTAGCCACCTGAGAACAAAGATTATCGTATCGTATCATAAATTATAGCCTGGACAGGTCAGTTGGCTAGAGCTTGGTGCTGATAATGCCAGGGTTGCAGGTTCAATCCCTCTATGGGGCAGCTGCATATTCCTGCATTGCAGGGGGTTGGACTAGATGATCCTCAGGGTCGCTTCCAACTTTGCAATTCTATGATTCTATGAAAGTAGCACATGAGGAAGGTAGCAGGGATGTGTGAGCAACTTCTGCCCCCTCTATTGCCAGGTTGTTGTTTTTTCCAGTAGGTAGCCTTTCTTATTCATGAAGACTCCCTTGATTTTCCATGAGTTCAAAGACGATGAAAATTTGGTGGAAAGGATTGGTGGACTTTGCATGCTGGTTCCTGATGCCTTTCCTCAGGTGCTTCCGCAACATGTAAGAGGCCTTAAGTAAAATTTTATTCTTAAATGTTTGATTCACCTTTAATTAATTAATGCGTCGAGAGAATGCAGAGAATGTGGCTGTCTGATGTGCTGTTTCCTCAGTGGTCCTAAGCATTGCAGGGCCGACGGGAGAGGAAATGAATCTGCAGAGCGACACTGAGGCATTCGAAGCCTCAAGACACATCTACAGTCAAATGAAGGAGGTGACTGTGGAAGTTTTGTTGCTGGGTCCCTGGGGCATAAGGAGGAGATAAGGGTGAGAAAGACAGTAGAGGAAAGAAATGGAGAAGACTCAGGATAGAGGAATCTTGCCTTAGAGAAAATAGAAGCTGAGAGACACACAGAAAGAGAAGCGAAGTTTAATAAGGGATCTGGGGCTTTGTAATCCCAGTTGCAAGTCAGAAAGGAGAGGGAAGAAAGAAGCAACCAAGGAAAAGTGAGGGGGAAAATTGCACACTTCTATAGAGGGAATTATATGATGACACAGGTATCCAAGCTAGTAAATAAATAATCTCCTGCAGTGCCCAGGGAGTAGAGTACATAATTAAATGTATCCAATGTTTAAATGTTTATCTACTCTATATGAAACCATGGGATTGACTAGAGTCTAGGCTTGCCCTGAGATATTTTGTTGCCAGAAGAAAAGAACAAGTTGATGTCCACCCCACTGTGACACATATGGAAGCCAACCAGACTGCCAGCTGAATCTAACTTCAACACAGGTGATGGGACAGTTCCCCTCACCACACCTGGGGGTAGCAGCATAGCTTAAGCAGGAAGATCTATCCTCCATTGTCCATCTTCCAGAACGTGGAAGGGGATAGCTACATTTTGGCACTGCCATTTTTATAACTGCAGTTTTAATTATTGGATATTGGATATGGGGGAGCGGTTTGGATCTAAATTTAATAAAATGAAATAAAAAGTATTATCATCAATGCACTGTGACACCGCCCCCCCCCCCGCATCTGCCGCCTGAGGCAGCTGCCTCAATCTGTCTAATGGTAGGAGTGCTTCATTGAAACAAGCTAGAGCACCACTGATTATAATGTTTTTATACACTCTAATAAGTTAAAAAACAAACAAACAAAAAAACAACACTCTTCATTATGCAAGTGAAGCCACGGGTATTTTCACCAAGTTAAAAAGGAGATTTAGAAAATATGGCGATGGGAAAAAGCAATATATTATTCGTAGGCACTGGCAAGCGTTTTTTGATTAGTCTCTAAGATTCAAAGCAAATCCCAGAATCCATTGACTAGGATTTAGATGGAAAGTGAGGGTACCTGAAGAATGCAAAAATTAACCTGGAGGTAATTGAAAGAAAGCACTTAATCCGTAGACTGACTTTGTTTTATAATAGTCATTTTGAACCACTGTTCTCTTTGCTCCTACAAGAATTCATCTAGCATAACACTGTGAAAAGCGATTATAATCAATGCCTTTGTTTCACCTTGTCTCATTATGCTACATTGACTTTGGCCCCGTTAAGAACTGTTATGTCCATTGTGTCTTCCAACGAATTACAAAAATTAGCATTTCTTAGCAACAGGTGGTATAAGATATCTTTTAAATGGAAAAGGAAGATGCCCAATTTCACTCCTTTGAATGAAAATATTTGACTCCAGATAAGAATTTGCTTTGCTTCTTTCTTTTTATGATACATAACTAGAAATTGTATTTTCTGAAGCATGAAATGTTAAGGAAATGAATCTTCCCAACCAATTAAATTAATTTTGTCATATCACAAATATATCCATCTCTATAGTCAAGTAACTAGTAGGAATGGGGGTGATTTAGGGCCAACTGTCTCAAGTCATGGAATATTTTTTTAAAAAATCACCAGTTTAGTATCTGTCATAGAGTGGTTGAGTTGCATATGTCCCCAAGGAGTTTGGATATAAGGCAGTGTAAAAATGATTACAAGTGAAACTGGAGAATATTGTCCTCTTATCACCCAGCATTTGTTCTAACTCTCTTTTTGTCTTTTATGGAAGCATATGTCTATACCTTTTTGCACACTATTATAAAATGGGTGTCAGAATATTTCCATTTACTCTCTTTGGCTCAAAAGCCTTTTGAGTGGTTATTTTAGTGCTTTCAACTCCTTGAATTTATAGCCTCAAGTGTGGTTAGGCCAAGAGTTTGAATTTGTGGAGAGAGTGCTTTGTAAAGAGACTGTGCTAGAAAGATGTAATTTGCAGAGTGAACTGTGATAACATAAAATAAGTGTTGAAGTAAGAGAGCTTGAAAACTTTTGCCTCAGAAATAAGGTAGTTTTCTGGAAATGATAGGCTTTGTCATCTCCCACTTCTCAAGACTGCAGTGGCGCTATAGGGCATCGCTACTTTGGTTTCCACTTTTAAGAAGAACACCTCAAAAAGGAATGGGGTGAGTCCAGTTTTATGTGTATAAGGGCACATTTCGCAACTTGGTGCCCTAAAGCTCTAATCAGCCCAGCCAGCACTGCCAATGGTCAGGCATGCTGTTAATGTTGTTGTTGTTGTTGTTTAGTCGTTTAGTCGTGTCTGACTCTTCGTGACCCCATGGACCAGAGCACGCCAAGCACTCCTGTCTTCCACTGCCTCCCGCAGTTTGGTCAAACTCATGCTGGTAGCTTCAAGAACACTATCCAACCATCTCGTCCTCTGCTGTCCCCTTCTCCTTGTGCCCTCAATCTTTCCCAACATCAGGGTCTTTTCCAGGGAGTCTTCTCTTCTCATGAGGTGACCAAAATATTGGAGCCTCAGCTTCACGATCTGTCCTTCCAGTGAGCACTCAGGGCTGATTTCCTTAAGAATGGATAGGTTTGATCTTCTTGCAGTCCATGGGACTCTCAAGAGTCTCCTCCAGCACCATAATTCAAAAGCATCAATTCTTTGGTGATCAGCCTTCTTTATGGATCACTGCCTTGCCATGGCGAAGGGGCTTGAATAACTCAGAGAAGCTATGATCTATGCCGTGCAGGGCCACCCAAGATGGACAGGTCATAGTGGAGAGTTTTGACCAAACATGATCCACCTGGAGCAGGAACCGGCAAGCCACTCCAGTATCCCTGCCAAGAAAACTCCATGGACAAAGACAACAGGCATATGCTGTTAATGGTAGACCAAAACATTTGGGGGAAGCCAAGTCTATGGAGACGTTCAAAATTAATGTGTGAGGGGTTGGGACTGCTAGTGGGATCTTGCCCTTCTCCCCTCCTTGAGCATTTAATGAATGACTGAAAGGGGTCAACCTGATTGCTTGATATGGCAACTCTCAAAGGAAATCAACCCAAGAGAGATCAATCCCCCCAAAACAGATTAAGTCTGGCACTGTTTACATTTTTAAGTTAAAGATCCCACAGAACCAATAGTGGGAAATAGTCTCTTAAATTCTTTCAAATGTTAATTATCCACAGTGATATTTACACCCTACCCATATGGGCACCATTTTGAATGCTGACATTTATCAAATTATTTCATTCTCTGTAGTGGCGACACAGTGAGCCGCCCAGAGTGGCTGGGGAAAACCAGCCAGATGGGTGGGGGTATAAATAATAAATTATTTATTAATTGACATTTATCAAATTATTTCATTCTCTGTAGTGGCGACACAGTGAGCCGCCCAGAGTGGCTGGGGAAACCCAGCCAGATGGGTGGGGGTATAAATAATAAATTATTTTTAAAAATTACTTTATTTTATATTCTTTTGTCCAGTGTTTCTTAAGCAGTAACTTCTCTTATCTTCTATCATTTTCTTCAAAATAATGCATTTGTATTATTTTCACTAAGGTAGATGTTTTTATGCGCACTTTAATATACACCTTTTTGTACACACTGAAGAACTGCATCAAAATGTAGATAACCATGGATTTCCAAGGATAGCTGCATTTCAGTGCCTATATTGCTCTGGAAAGTGAAAATTAGGAAAATTTGCATTAAAATACAAACATATCTTTCTTTCCTCTTTACCTCCAGAAGCAACATACCACAAAACTTGGCTGGTGTGAACTAGTACTCATTGTTTGTTTCCTCTCCAAATAAGCAACAAGCAGAAGTCAAGGTTTGTTCTTACTGCTCATAGTTTGTCTGGGAAAAGCAAACCATGAGTTCAAGGCAAGGCCAAGCAGGGCAGAGCAGGAACAACTGAGCATTGTGTACCAATGGTTTATATCTGATCATGACATACCATTAAGTGCAAATACGGCCCATGTTTCAATCCTTCAGCATGTTAGTTCATAACAATATTCTGAAAACTGTAAACCATTCAGTCAGAGGCCTCTTAGTTCCTGTCAGAATGTGATTCCTTTATTTTACCTAGTTGCTCGCTCTTTTTTGTCCTCTTTAGTAATTAATACTAGAAGTGGTACCGATTGATCTGTTCTCCAATTCATAATACCCTGCAGATATCATTAGGACAAAGTCTTAAGATTTGAGCCAACTCTCATTTGTACTCATACTTAAAATATGTCAGTGGGGAAGCTTACACAAGAGGAACCTGATCTCATTTACTGGCCATATTGGTTCAGCACAAGACAGTAATTGAAAATTGATTCTGCCGTGCCTGTGCCATAACTTCCCATAGCTGTGGGCACTGAAGGAAAACCCAGAGCGAGAGATCTGTGGGAGCAGGGAGGGAAGTTAGTGGCAGAAATGGGAAAAGAAACTCAAGGCACTGATTTTCATAGGATCTGTTATTTCCCCACTCTTAATGG